ATTAAAACTTTAAAAAACTCTCTCTCTCTCTCTCTCTCTCTCACACACACACACACACACACACACACACACACACACACACACACACACACACACACATGGTAGAATGGCAGAATTTGCAAAATTGAAGACCATAGAGAACTTACTCATCAAGCAATGAGTGTATTTCCAACCTTTTTGGCAATTTTTTTGGCGCTTATTGTGTGCGTGGTTGGTGGGTGTGTTGGTGTGGTTTTCTCCTTCTTTCCTATCAAACATCTATTGTCCTTAAATCTCTCCTTTTTGTGTTTGTTACTCTCTTGTAACTCCTGTTATCTCCAGCACTTATTTGACCTTATTGTGTTGAAGGTGCCGTAAAACCCTTACTTTTTCCGGAGTTAGAAAAATTGTTGAAATTATGATTTTTTTTTTAAACGTGCACGGTCAGTGTCAGTATTTATTAATACGTTTGGAGTGGGTTATTTTTGCAAGGGATTCATATATTTTAAGTTTTTTGAATTTCAATGAAAATTTTGCGATAAATGAAAATGACAATTTTTGGATTTCAAATTCAAAATTTAAAATTCGAAAACCAAATAACAAAGTGATGTAAATAAAAATCAAATCACATGCATATATTGAAACAAAATTAATGCAAAACTATGCTAGGAACCCAGTTTCAATGGATTAATTTTACCATACTGGTATTAAGAGTTCTTTCAAAGTGATGACATCAAAATCAAAACTGAGACAGACATCCACAATGCATTCACAGAATGGGTAGGCCTACTTGTATCTCTGTAATATCGGGAGCTCTTCGTTAGCTCAGTTGGTATCACGCTGGAGTATGGAGCGGATGGCCATGGTTCGAATCCCAGACTGGGTGTTCTTGAACTCGGGTTCTTTTTAATAGCTTTCAACCCATTTAACTCTCCTGTTGGAGACGGACACTAAATTTGGAGGTCCCACCTTTATAAATCTACTAATAATAGTGTTGATAGGGGTGTTACTATTAAACTAGTAACGTAATTTTTGTTTACAATATCTGAAAAGTGTAACCCTGCTTATTTGTCATGTATATTTAATTTTCATTCTCACCCTCGTCCACTTCATACCCATCATCTTAATTTCGTTCCTCTTCATCACCGCCAAATCTTAAGTACGGCACCTTGCTGTTCAATTTAAAAAAAAATAAAATCCTATTTTGTGTTTGTGTCAAAACTAAGGTGAATACAAAATTGTCTTATGTTTACCCTTGATGGACTCAGGGGGTTACACTGACTAAATGTTTTATCTCACATCACAGTTGATTTTTTACGAACACGGTCGTTTTATCGAACTCATCTCTTGTCTGACAGTCAGTGACAGTCAGGCAGCCATGTGCTGTTTTCGAAGGTACAATCGGCTCCGCTCGTGTTGAACTTGCTTGAGTTGATCTTTGGCTAAGTTTATATTTTTCTCGGGTCCCAGCACCTCTTCTTCTTTACAGATCCCAACGTTAAGTTGAACGTCGATCGAGTTGATCTTTTTTTCACTACCGTGAAGACATAAACTCACTCGTAGTCAACTGTACTTACAGTCCGGACAACACCAAGTGGACAACTTGTCGACCTCATTGCAGTGATACGAAGTCAACTTAGTGGCGAATTGCCTTGATTTTTTGCATGTGCTTCTGAATTAAAAAAAAAAAAAAATCTCGATTTTCGTGCATATGCGACACATATAAAAAGGTGTTTTATATAATATTAATATGCGAGGGCTGTCCCACGGAAAACCGGAATTTGGCTGTAATTTGAAAACTATTCAATATCTTCACATTCTGTAAACGCACACTT